TAAAATGATATAAAATTAAAAAATTATTAATGTTTATTTTATTTTTTAAATAATTATTTTTAAAAATATATTAAGATTTTCTCGGCCTATTCAGGAATATTAAAAAATTATTATTTTTTTAAATTTAGTTTTAAATTTTTCAGGTTGGCTTATAAGATTTGATCTAAATTATTGACTCTAGTCAATAGAAAAATTTTATCCCTGTCTTTCATTTAATCAATTATATCCAGAAATTTAATCAGTGCTTGACAAGAGATTGAATACATTATACAATACCCGTGCGTTGAGAATCAACCATTTCTTTTACTTTGTAATTTGCTGCTGCACTGGACTTATTTGTGTTTTTAATGGTTAAATATTTATATTAATTCGATTTCAACCAAAATTTGAAATTCCCGACGCATACATTTTGTTTCATTAAAGGAAATAATTGATGGATAGCGATACAGTCGATGACTTTATGCTGGAAAAGCTACACGCTTTCCAGCAGTCTTATTTAATTTACTAGGTGGGACTAGTTACATAATTAACTATATTAATAATTAATATTCCTCCATTTTTATATATAAAATATTTTTAATCAAATTATATAAATTAATAAAATTTAATTATCTAATTAAAGGTACAGTAACATTTAATTTTGTTCATAATTATTATAAATAAAAAAAATTTAAAGTAAATTAATAAGAGTGTTTATCCTTTTTTTTCAATTTAATAAAGGTATAATGATCCATTTATTAAAAAAATATGCCAACAAGTCCTTATATTTAAGGACAAAAAATAATTATAGAAAATTTTTATATATAGGGATGGAGGGAGTATAGAGTTTAAATTACATGCTTGTCTAAAAATCAGCAAATAATTATTTTATAAATAAAATTTATGCAAGTTAGATCTCAAACAAACTGCATTATTCAAATAACATTTACAAGAGTATTTATAAATCATCCATTAATAAATTTTCTATAAGATTTGAATTGATATACCTAAAAGGGAGTCTAAGTCCAACACAAACTGTACTTCTTTCATCCCAATTCGTAAAATATTTTTGAAAAGATTCAATGTTTCAAAATATAATATTTTTATTATAAAAATAAATTTTATTAACAATATTTTTTTAATATTGGCCTCCCTGTTATATTCTCTTTTTAATATTCTATCATAAAGAATATTAAATCAAGAATATTTTTAAAAATTTATATTTTATTTTGAAAAAATAATTTTAAAATGTGTTTGATGAACTTCATCAATATATGCAATTTTATTTAAAAGTATCTTATAAATTAGAACATTAAAGTGCTAGCTTTGGTTAGCATTCCACATATATTTTTGACCTATCTATCTCAATTTTCAGTCATAATTAAGCTATCACTTTATTGTTAATTATTTATTATTGTTCTTCACAAGTTATGTGTTGTGTCTGAACAACAAAAATTAAGCGTGCTAGGGATGCAATCTCAAGATGAATACAGTGTTCACAAGTTCCCTTACCTCAATTAACCTGAATGTAAAAATTCAAAGAGGTTGATGTGAAAAGGTATTTTTGATTAATGGGAGCTAACATACAAAGTTGTAGTGATTACAACTTGCGAACTAAAAACCTAAGTCTGATCACTAAATACATAGTAAAATGAACTAGAAAAATAAATTTAAAATTGTTTTGATAGGGTGTGTGTTTCATCTGTGCTTGTCTTTGTTTGATTGGATTAGTTGAGCCTTTTTTTATAATCAAATGCCTGAGACCATCGCCCTTAGAGAATTTGGAGTCTTTATGCAAAATATTCATAATTACTCAACACAATCATGTGAAATTTGTGACATGTCAGATAATGATCTCATGTCTACCTATTAACCTTCAATATCTAGTCATTTGAATTTTAATGGTCACACTGAGTATGTACGTGGTGGTATGAAACCTCTTCTGAAAATGGGTTGAATCTTGTCTTCATTTAAATATTAGGCTCATCATTTTAATTATTTTTTTTCATAACTTTGTGCTGGCGCTTGATTTTAGAGCCATGTCAGGGCAAAAGTTTTAGGAAAATATGCCAAATGGAGTATGGTAATCATTGTATAAGCCAGCAATAGCAATTAGGACAGCAACTTTTTCGACCCATGTGAAGCTGCCCAAAATTCTTTATAATTTATGCTAAAAAACTTTCCAGAATTTAAATCACTTTGAAAGTACAAATCATTTATTACATTAATTAGATGTAAATATTCTAAAATTCTTTTTGGAGTAAAAGGGTTCTTAAAATAATAGTTTTCAAGTTTTAGATTTTTTATGATCTCATTTTTTTTAACTAAATGCAGCCAATGTTATGACTAACTTAAAATTGAGCGGTGGTAATTTAAATGTAACACAAGCTTTGACCTGGGAAACGGCTAAAACTAAACTCTAGCCCTGGCAATCTCTGTCTAATGTCTGTGGATAAAAAAAAAAAAAGTCAAAATCCATGAAGGCAAGCTAATGAAAAATTAAACCAAATATTAAATTAATTATTAAATATTAATAACCCTAAAAGTACACTATAGTCTATAGTTTTAAGTTTTCAATTGTCAAATACTTCAAACCAACGCATGCAAGCCATCTTTTGTTGGCGCAAGTAACGTGATGAGAGCCTCAATATTTCATCATCACCATCATCGTAATTATAATGAGTTTAAAAATTCTTTCTAGTACGAACAAGAAAAAGAAATTTTTGTCAAATCAAACCAAAATTCAAGTTATTTTATGGTCCTTGACCTTGAGTGTAATTTTCACGCTGAAATTTGTACTCTTTTTTTGGGTTACAAGATTTGTATTTTTTATCCAGAGCAATTCATCTATAACTTTCGGGGCGGTACCTGCAGGTAGTGGAAGAGAAACGGGTTAATGACCATTTTCTTCAGAGAAAATTACAACTAGAACCCATATAAAAAAAATTAATTATAATAAAATTTATTAATAATTAAATTAAACTACACTGAATCATCATCAATACAGTTTAATTTAATTATCATTGAATCTTACAATAATTAATTTTTTTATGTGAGATTTCAATATTTTTTTTTAAATTACTTTAAAATATTCACTAATTAAAACCCACAAAGTTTAGTTGACAAGTTGTTGGTTCATAATTCATAAGGTCATGAAATTAAATTTAATTATAGTGAAGATTTTGTTAATAGGCAGTCTATGAGTATGCCATAATTCTTAAATGCCTATTTAGCAGTAAAAGCTTGTGTACCCGTTTAAGCCCATATAAGTGATCGTAAAACCCATTTGCATTGTTTGAATAATCTTTTAGAAACTTCAATCAATCATGATTTAGATACTCTGTGATATGTTGAGTAGAAACTACCGATAAGTGTTTTTGCATTTAAGAAATCAAAATTAGGTTTTTATTAAACTGCATTTCGTAATACTTATAAAAAATTGGATTAAGAGTTATTTTTATTCTTGAACTATATACAAAAGTTCACAAATGACTCTGAACTCAACTTGAAATCAATTTTATCCCTAACCTAAAATTTTGCTTCGTCCTTGCCCAACATTACTAGTTTGTTAGTGTGACTCATGTGAATTTTTAAATATTTTCTAATAATAAAATATGATAATGGGATCCATTGTATATTTTTTCAGATTAAGGGTCTAAAATGCCTCTCAACTAAACAAAAAGAATAAGAGTTACCTTTGAAATTAAGAAAGAGTAATTTATATCCTTAATAAGCTAAAATTTTTTAGTCCATCACTTTACTGCCTATCTTGTCAATTTTTACCATTAATGGGGCCGCATTTAAATGTTTTCATATTTTTAGTTGGTTTCATCCCTCTCTCTCCTTCATTCCCTCTCTTTTTCATTCATTCTTGCATTGAAGCAAGTGGACTAGCAGTAGGAGAGTAGCCAACATGCTAATTGTATTCTTGTTATCGTCGTCGTGAATGGCCAAGTTGAAAAGTACACCAAAAGCATGTTTCTACAATGGTTGGCGGAGTTCTAGCACCATTTAACAATAGTATATTTGAAGGTAAGGTTGAAAATTACAATAAAAAAAATTGGGCTTGAAGCCATCAGAGAGCCGTGGCATGAAGTGTAAAATTTTTACAAGCATGAATAGGAACTTGCTCGAAGGTGTTGCCTAAGCCCTGAAGAGACCTACTAAAAGTATAAAAAAAGTGGTGAGATCCACCAAAAATATTAAAAAAATTAAATGTGAGCCCTACTAAAGGTGAAATTTAATGGAATAGATGGTAGGGTGATGAAATTTAAAATATTAATGTTGAAGGATGTAAATGGCCATTTCTTAACTTTCAGAGACAACTCTAGCCCTTTTTGTTGAGTCGAGGGATATCTTAGACCCTTAACCCTATAAAAAATTGTGGAGACCCACAAAAAATATTAACAAATTTAAATGTGAGTCCTACTAATGGTGAAATTTGACTAAATAGATGGTAGGGTACTGGAATAAAAAATTTTAGCGATTAAGGAATATATATGACTATTTTTTGATTTTTGGGTCACCGTGACTCTTTACATTTAATTAAGGACATTTTAAACTTTTAACCTCAATCCAAATGGATAAAGGACCTTATTTTTATAAAAAAATAATTTTTTATTTAATTATGTTAAAATTATATAATATCTTCATGTATCCCAAATTTTCAAAACATTATCTCTTATTTATGTATCATATTATTTTTAAAAGCTATCCAAAATAGTTTCTTTATCCCGTGCCACCTCTTCCAAAAAAAAAAAAAAAAGCATTTAAAAACAAAAATACGCTGGGACTAATAATCCATGGCTCAAAAGAAAGTTAAGCTAAAGGGAGTCCAGGGACAGTTGGGAAGATTTTTAATACAAGTGACCTAAACCCAGCAACAAAAGATACCGCAATTTTCTCATTGACCAAACAAAATATATATATATATATATATATATATATAATTTGTTATTTATTAATTATGATATTCAGTTCTCCTCTGGTGCGAGCGAGGCTATAAAAATCGTACCACTCAACACGTAACGAGCCCGCCAGAATTGTAGAGCCTACACCTCCTTCGCCTTTCGTATTCATAGTCGCGAGCCTTCTTTAATGCTCTGCCTGGTCCGTTGTACCTCCTCCATTACTCCATCCAAGCTCAAAAACCCACGAATTCAAAGACAGCAAGGCCATTGACAGAGAAAGAGATTACAGGGAGAGAAATATGAGCTGTGTTGAGGCGAGGGCTGTGTTGAAGAGGAAAGGAAGAGAAACAATGGAGGAAACCCACCTGCAGGCTTTGTCTTTCTCTCCCACCAAGGAACCTGGAACGAGGAAGAAGACAACTCACGGTCAGGAGGAGATCAGAAACGTCGTCGTTAACCCTAAACGCTGCTCTCTTCTGTCGTTTTGGGAGCTGCCGGAGTACATGAAAGACAACGAGTATATTCTCCATTATTACAGAGCCAATTGGCCTCTCAAACAAGCTCTTCTCAGCGTCTTCCGTTGGCACAACGAAACTCTCAATGTCTGGACGTAAGCTTCTTCTTCATGCCTCGTTGCTTTCTCCATATATAAGTACTCCATTCGTTGATCTTCTTCTTACTTTCATTCTTTATTTTGAAAATAGTTATATCTTCGTTCTTTTTTTGGTCGGGGCTTTTTATTTGCAGGCACTTGATTGGTTTTTTTCTGTTTTTGGGATTGACTCTAGCGAACTTGATGCAGCCTCAAGTGTCGGATCTTTTAGGCCTATTTACCAGGTTTCTTCAACACCCTTCTATTTTAATTTTTTTCCCCCGAGTCAGTTTTTTCTTTCTCTGTGTTTATTTATAAATGACAAGCTCTCAATATCAGGGAATTTAAACTCGGTTATGTTTACTGCTAATGCTATTAAATTTTGAGTCATCAATGAATAGGTGCTGAAATATATATAACCTAGAGACCTAGAGCAGATAATAGCAATTCATTTACCACGAGGTTATTTTAATTTCATAATTTAGTCTTGTGAAACAAAATCGAAGTTAATAAATTAATTGCAATGACATGAATGAGAGTTAACATGATCATCAATTTAATCGTTCTGGAATTTTTTCATTCAAGTGTCCTTCTTCTTCAAACGACAACATCTTGTGTGACAGAGTGCATTTGTTTTTTTATTAATTATTTGGTTAAAAAAGAATTGAATTGGAACAGAGCATATAACAGTCATTGTTTCAAAGTCCTCAAACAAGTCTCAAGAATGCTTATAAGAATTTGCTCAATTGGTACAGAATTGTGGTGTCCCGTGTCTCAGAGCTAAGCTGGAGCAATCTGTTTAATTCGTCTTAAAATTTTCTTTCGTGCACGAAAGTAAAAAAGGTTTAAGAATAGAAATGATTTCTTCGTAAGATCTTACAGACAACAACCATGACCTGAGAGCTGTGTTTGGTTGGTCACCTAACTTTCTTGGCAATTTTGGTTAGCTAACTTGATTCAAAGTACTCAGCAAACTCTGTCCATCAACCATTCTATGACTTGCACCAAATTTTGTTCCTTTTTCCGTCTTTGTATTTTAGCCTGTCCCAGCATGTGCATCACATGATGCAATTTGCCATCTGAAAGTAATAAATTATCACCAACTAGCATGGGCTCCAAGTGCGGCAAGAAAAAGTCAAACTTAAAAACAATGAAATTTGGAATAAATAGTAAAGTAACATTTGTTTTTCTACTTGCATATTTATTTATTGATTGTACTCTTAACTTGCATTGCCATGTACCTGAAGGTCACTTGCTTCAAGCGCGGACAAGAATGTTTCCCATAACTTCAAAGACCTGTTCCTGGTATGTCAGCTCATAGGACCTCTCAAATCTCAATCTAATGGTTTTTCTAAGGAACTGACATAACATTCTATGAACTCACAGGGAACACCATTACCGATGGATTTAAACCATCAAGCACCTTTGAAAATGGAAGTTCAATCCTCAGATTTGGGACCTGCTAGATGGCCATTCTTTGTTTTCTTAGGTGGCTCTATGTTCTGCCTTCTCTCAAGCAGCATATGCCACCTCTTTTCCTGTCACTCCCATACCTTAAACCTGTTCCTTTTAAGAATAGACTATGTCGGTATCACTGTAATGATCATCACCTCCTTTTTCCCTCAAATCTACTATGTCTTCCTGTGTGATCCTCTCTGGCAATTCATCTACCTTGGAGGGATCACAGCCATGGGATTTTTCACCATTGTTACAATGCTTTCACCGGCTCTAACGACCAGCAAATACCGAGCTTTCCGAGCCATGTTGTTCTGTTCCATGGGACTTTTTGGCATCATCCCTGCAATTCATGCTTGTATTGTGAACTGGGGCAGTCCTACGAGGAATGTCACACTTGCATATGAATGTACCATGGCCTTGTCGTACCTAACGGGGACTATGTTCTATGTTAGCAGAATACCAGAAAGATGGAAGCCTGGGTGGTTTGATCTTGCTGGCCATAGTCATCAGATATTTCACGTTTTTGTTGTGTTTGGTGCTTTGGCACATTATGCAGCTACTCTTAAATTGTTGGATTGGCGTGTCACTTTTGGGTGTGGGAAGATTCAATGATTTGTGTGATATTTTTGGGTACATATGAAGAATATGTATCAAGTTGGATGGTTTTTCTTGAGACAGTGAAAAATCTTTCTGGGAAATCTTTGTGAAAGTAAAGGCGATTCTGTTGAGTTAACATACTATTATTATTCATTTAATTTGTAGAATTTTCTGTAACTGTGAGATAGTGTTATACAAGTGCGAAGATATTATGATCTAAATAGAAGTTGTTTATCAAAATATGATTTTTTTTTCTTATATTTCACTACGGTTTTTTTTTTTGGGTATATTTTTTTGGCCATGTGAGCAAGATGGTGGTATCTGGCTGTCTGCTTTGCATTTTATTTTGTGTCATGCAGCATTTGTTTATTTTGTAACCTAAGTGGTCCGAAGGGTCACACTCGACTCGCTAACAGCTCAAATCTTATATATTGATGAAAAATAATTTATTTTTATCAAAAAATTCATTTTAGGATTTTTATTCCTCAAATTCTCCAAGTATTTTTTCTTTTATTGTGACTCAAATTCTCCCAATATATGATTTTGTTGATAATAACAAAGATATTTATTTTTTTGCAGACAATTTACGATATCCAGTTACTGCAAAAACTTGTGTGCAAGGCTGAGTTGGATAACTGCAATTGAGTAATCAGTTTCTATTTTTTATTTTGCAGGGGTCATGTTAAATTAAAATTATGGTGAAATTCTTGTGTACGTGCACAAGAAAATTATACATCTTGCAAAGTGTAAATAATGGTAAATTTATTATTGAGAATTTAGGGGTTTTGATGATAATGAAAACTAAATTTTAATCAAATAATTATTTTCTAATTCAATCATCAGAGAACGTGGACGTACGGATGATTGTTCTGAATATAAATGAAATGATTGAGAACCAATTCAGGAAATTGCAAAATTAGAGCCATGTTGGCTAAATGATTGAAATGCAAGAAAGAAAGAAAAACATTGAAGGCACCAGCTGAAAAAGCAACATTTATGATCATTGAATTATTGCTAAAACTTTCATCCTCAACCATTGAATTCAAATCAAACTCCCCCATTTCAAAATGTGTCTTTTAAAATATCTATACATAGATTGAGAAATAAATAAAATTAATATATAAAAATATTAACTACATGGATAAAAACATATTTCTCCCAATTAAATTGTTATATATATAAGACTGAAATTTAATCCACTAACAATTTACTTCAGTAATAAGAGTTTTTATCGTTCATGTTAATTTTAGTTTATTTGACTAAATTACTTTGTAACGGTACTTAATTAATTGTATATTTTATGATAAAAAGTTATATAAATAATATATACAAATAAAATAGATAATATCATTATTTCACTATGATCGGGTAGCCTCTTCTCGCTTTATCATTCCATCTTCTTTTGTTTTTTTTTTCTTTTTTTTATTTTACCTGAATTCGTTTGCAATTTAATGCGGTTCATTGAATCTTACAGCACAAATAATAAACACCTTTACTTGTGAGGAAAAAAATTGACCGATCAAGATTAAGAACATTAATTAGAGAATATATGAAATTAATATGATAAGTTGACCATCAAATATTAATTACCCATGCGTGGGAAAATCTGATTCTTGAGATACAGAAAAAAATTGATTCTGATCATTGCCCTCAAAATTAACTCCACCACCTTCCACAAAACCCTCCTCAAATTCTCAGAACCAATCAACCCCATTTCTTCCTTATTTTCTCCAAATCATTATTCATAAAATACGAATCTCACAGTAGACAATCACCCTCATGCTTTGTCTCTCTTCCCATTCCCCTACATGTACCTAGCTGCTACCCAATTCTACTTCTTGAAGATCCACTACAAAAGAAGAATATTTCCAACTTTAATTTCTTCTTATCATCAACTTCATACATATTGTTCTCATAAATATTATATATACATATATAGGTTCTAGCTTCTGATATTTCTGATTCCATGGCTGAAACTGGGAGTGGTATCACAAGTTCACGGCTTTTCTTCGTTCTAACCTTGATCCTCCTCTTTCTCTTGGTCTTCCTGTATTCCAACCACGGGAACGACACCGTTTCTCTCCTTTTACCTTCACAATATTCCCATCGTCATCATCTTCACAGTACTTCTTATCCGGCCACTGCTTCTCCCATCAAAGTATGCATGCGTGCCTTCGTAATTATGATTTTTACGAAATAATTAGTTATAGTTAGTGGTGGTAATTTTGTGTGATTAATTTGTAATATTATGATATGAAGCAGAAGGAGATGAAGAAGATAAAAAGGGAAGAAGAGAGTGGTTTGTTGAAGGTAGAAGAAGAGTTAGGAGAAGCGAGAAGGGCTATTCGGAGAGCCATACGAATGAGGAATTTCACTTCATACCAACATGAGACCTTCGTCCCCAGAGGATGTATTTACAGAAACGCTTACGCCTTTCATCAGTAAGTTTTCCATTCCTAGTTATCTTAATCTACATTTTCCACCGATACCTTCACCCAACTCCGACAATGTAATATTATTCTTACTAACGATAGATAAACTTATTCAACTTTTTCAACCTGTTGTACCAAATACCTAGTAGAAATAAAAAATACTAATACTGATAAGAATAATATGCATAAAAATGTACCATGAGTTTCCCGTAAAATTATGTTCTCTTGAATCACTTGCTCTATTTCTGAATACTCCCTCTGTTTTCGTTTATAGGAAAAATGATCACTTTTCACTTTTTTTTATATAAGCAAAATCATATTTTTTTAATAAGCATTTAATATAAACTTCTTAAATTATCTTTCATGATTTTATTATTCAAAGTCATAAAAGACAATTAATGAGATTTAATTAACACAATTAATAAAGAATATTATATTCTAATTCTTTTACTTTCAGACACAATTAATACATTTAACTAATTTTTTTAAACTGTATAATACAGTCTCATACAAATAGAAATGGAGGGAGTATATTAGTTGTAGGTGTAAAATGTTCTATTCAGAAAAAAAAAATTAAATGTGAGTGTAATTTTCTTGGCCAAAATTGTGCGTGTGATTTGCATTCTATTATTAATTAATTAAAGTGAATGTCCGATTAAATATATTTTGTATAATTATATGTTTATATATTCATTTTTGTAAATATAAGGATTACAATTGTGGTTGATTTTACTGCAAGTCTGGGCTCGCTGATCAACATGTGTGATCTATATGTGGCGCGAATTTTATCTCATAAAAATTAGGACATTTGTTTGTGGCTGAGTTTTACTGGAGGTTAAATATGATGTGTTTATTCTTCGTGTATTGTATTGGACGTATTAAATGTCTCTTTTTTTCCACGCTTTTTTGATACACTGTATGTAGTACTTCGATTCTTAGCTTACCTCTGAGCAATTTGTTGACCTTTAAATTCAAATTAATTAATTAATATTATTATGCTTGGCTCTTTGATTTGAAGGTAAACAAGACTTTTTAACTTAACACATCTCTATCCATATTTCTATCACATATTTCATTTGTGGAGTGAAAACGTTTCCCCAGCATTTGTTATTTCCATTCTCTATTTCTTGTATTTATTTTTCAAGTGATGGAGTTTTTTTAAAAAGATTGTTTTTTTGGCAAGTTTTAAAACCGCCAAGGTTTTAAGGTGTTTGAAAATGAACGATTTGGAATCCAATTTTTCCATATTTCGATCAAATTCATCAAACCATTTTCTCCGTTCAAGAAAAATATGATCTTTCTAAATTTAAAGGCATTTCATACGTGGAAAGAGTATAATAAATTAAGTTTAATTAATTTCGAGAAAGAAACAAAAATATATTTTGTCAAAACAGGAAATTTCTAATACTGCTTTAATTACTTCGGGGAACAAGATCATCGTCAAATCATTGATCATTGATCCATCACGATTCATTCGTTAGATGTTAATTTGTAGACATGACATAATTAATACGCGACACTTATTTTGTTTCTTCTACATTAAGTTATAAAGGTATAAAACCATTCTTCTAGCCTCTATAATTTTATTTAATTTTTAATTTTAATTCATTTAAAATATCAGGCGACAGCAAAATTGAAAATTGAATTTCGTTTACGTGGGCATGATATTTAGGAAAAAAAAACGTGAAAATTATCATACATTCGTTAATATTAATTAATTCGGAATCAAGTATTGTTGCCTTCCAAACAGGTTAAAAGTTCACTTGGATTTTTTTTTAATGTAAAACTCTCTCTCTCTCTCTCTCTCTTTTTTTTTTTTTTTTAATGGAGGAGCCTAACAAGTAAAGGCGACATGAAAAATGTGCAGGAGTCACATTGAGATGATGAAGAGATTCAAGGTGTGGACATACAAAGAAGGCGAACCACCATTGGTCCATTCCGGGCCCATGAGCTCAATATATGGAATAGAGGGACACTTCATGGACGAGATGGAGAGCAAGAATAGCCCATTTTCGGCCCAAAGGCCCAATGAGGCCCATGCATTCATGCTTCCCGTAAGTGTGGCCTACATCGTTCATTTCTTATACAGGCCTCTGGTCTCCTACGCACGTGACCCGCTCATGAGGATCGTCACGGATTACACCCACCTCATCGCCCGCAGATACCCCTACTGGAACAGAACCCTTGGCGCTGACCATTTCATTGTCTCTTGCCATGACTGGGTTAGGCCTCCTCTCTCTCATTCCTTCTATCCAAAACCTTGCTCTTCTTATTATTATTTTTTAATTTACAATAATTAATTTTTTAGAATTGATCCCAATTTTTTTTTTTTGCTTAATGAATTGGATAATTTTTCTTAATTTTAGTAAAATTTTCATTAACCTTCCTTGAGTGCAGGATGTGCATTGCACTTGCATCTTTAATTTTTGCTAAAATCTCTTTCTCTTCCCCTCCTACACACCCAAAATTTGGAGGTAGTTGTTGAATAAATGAATAAGTAGACAGGGAAACTCAGGGTGAATTTGGACAAATGAATTACCAGGCAAAAAAAAAAAACTAAGTGATTCTTGCAAAAATAAATCACTAAGCCAAATCTTGAGGTAAACTATTAAAACAAATAGAGAAAATTAAAGGTCAAAGCTAAGAAAGATATCATCAAAATACTGTGAGCACAAAAAAAAAAAATTGGCTAGAAGCCCAGACACACTACCAAAGCTTGACTAATCTAACTCTACGTCATGAAAGAGATAAGCATGCAGGGAGAATTCAAGCTATAGAAAGGCACAGAAGAAGAGATAAAGAGACAAGGAATGGAATAAATTTAAAATTGTACTGTGCTTATTTAGTCATCATTTGAGAATTTACATAGAACAAAATGAGATATCCTAATATATATCAAATAAATCTATAATTATTTAATTGCAATAAATATGATCAGTCAACACCTCAACCGAATAGAAAATTACAATAAATTAAAATCAGAAATCAATTATAATCTGACCATATTTAACACATATTGTTGCACACGTTGTTTTTGTCTGATAGCGTTACTGCTAAGGTATATATTAACAATGATTTCTTTAGATTTCTCTCTAGATATTATCCTTGCATCAAATATGTATGTATCTGATTGGAAGAATGGTGCAGGCTCCAGATATCTCAAAAGAGAAGTTGGGCAGAGATCTCTACAAAAACCTCATAAGAGTGCTCTGCAACGCCAACACCTCAGAAGGTTTCATACCCAACAGAGACGTCTCTCTCCCTGAAATCAACGTCCAAGGCTCCATTCTCAACTCTCCCACCCCAACGCACCACCTTCGCAACCGCTCCATCCTCGCCTTCTTTGCCGGCGGCGCTCACGGCGGCATCAGACAAACCCTCCTCCACCATTGGAAGGATAAAGACGACCAAGTCCAAGTCCACGAGTACCTCCCTAAGGGCTCCGACTATTACTCCTTCATGATTCGAGCCAAGTTCTGCTTGTGCCCTAGCGGCTACGAGGTGGCTAGCCCTAGGCTCGTCGAAGCCATTAATGCAGGCTGTGTGCCTGTGATTGTTTCGGATTATTATGAATTGCCTTTCAGTGATGTTCTTGATTGGACAAAGTTTTCATTGCATGTTCCGTCGGAGAAGATACCGGAGATCAAGAGAATATTGCAAGGCGTGTCGGAGAGGAGGTTCTTGAAGTTGCAGAAGAGGGTGGTGAAGGTGCAGAGACATTTTCAGATGCATCGGCCGGCGAAGCCGTTTGATGTGTTTCACATGATTCTTCACTCTATTTGGCTTCGAAGGCTCAATATCAAGCTATCAAGTTGACGCACATCCTTAATGAATCTCATTTTGTCATTTATTTTGGATCTCCGTATAGTTTTAAGTCTGCCTGAAGGATGGGTTTGGACCGAGAATCACACAGAAAAACTTGCTTAAATGTGTGCTGGAAATTTTTGTTGCCGGTAATAGTTCCAATCGAAAAAAATGATTAGACACTATCATATTGTCAGCAAATTAAATGAAGTGGACACTATCACTATACTGCCTCTAGTCTAAAATTTAAGTAGTTTTTTTAAAAAAATTTACATACCAATGAAGTCCTCATTCTCATAAAATATACATTGCTTTTCCTTTTTATCCTTAATTACAATTACCAATGCATTTATGATGGTGAGAAATATACTGATACAAATATTTAAGTTAATAAATAAAAAGGGTAAAATGGATAATTTTTTTTTATATTTACTTAGTTGCTTATATTTTAAATTGAAATTAGTTCAGGAAAAATGTTTATATTTTGAATTAAAAGGAGTGCACTTTACAACACACTGTATAAGCTAGTGATTACTTTTGATTTTGATATGCTTGTAATTTTCTTCTTGGCAACCAGTAGAAATTGACATATTAGTACTTTGTAAAAGAATGCATGAGTATAGAAATGTAGAATTAATCTTGAAGACTTTGATAATGTGAATTATAAGGCATATTTTTTAAGGTTTTATGTTTCAATTTATAAAAAATTTTGAGAAATGTTAAGGATAATCAATATTTTTATTCCAAAAATCCCCTGACCAAAAAAAAAAATTACTTAATCCTCGTAGTTTGGTTCATTCTCCATTAAAAGTGATGATAATTAGGCCTAACAAAATATTTTGAAAAAGAATCACAAATATTATTTCAAACAATTATAAATAAAAACTTTAATTGCAAATTCAAAAATATACTTATCTAGAATATGAATACCTTATTTGAAATTGACGTTTATTTGAATTTTATTGTCATTTAATTTTTTTTAAAAGGTAGAGAATGTGATTGTAGTGATTAAGCTGATACCATGACTGTCAATCGTGGTAACAAATAGCGAAGCTGAAAAATGCTGGGCTGGAAATGGAGAAAGAATAATTGGGTGAGAAATGATGAGGGATCCTAGGAAACAAAGGAGGGGAAGAGGATCGGATCATGTTTGTTTTTGTTAGAGAAAAAAATGCAGGTGAGTTGTGTTACCAAATTTATCATGGCCAAGATAGATTTCCATAATCATCAATTAATTCAATCATGATATTACAGTAAAATTCAATTTCATAATTATACTCCTTCTATTAAAAAATATAAAATATTTTTAATTTTTTAAAATGTAATTATTAATTTTTTTAAAGTATCTTTATTAATAATAATTTTATATTTATTATAAGATATTTTATAGAAATAAATATAAAAAATAAAGTTATTTTAAAAATAAATACTTTATTAAAAATAAAATTTAATTAAAAATATTTTTTATTTATAAACGGGGGAATAATGAGCTACATTGACTTTGGAATCATGTTTCGAAAAGTTGCATGGGAATGCGTTGGTGGGAGCAGTAAAAGAGACAAAATTTAAAAACGATGGGAGCAATGGCGGAGGAAATCCACCGGGGAATGTGTTGTGTGGAGAGGCCAAGTGGAGTAGCATCGATCAGTGTGCCATTGTGGGCTTCCAGCCTCCTCCCTTACTCGGAAAGAGGGTGTTTCCATTTCCTTTCTTTTTATTTTCCTCTATTTCTCTTCCATCACCTTTAAATCATAAATTTAATGGTTCAGATTGAGACTCTGATAAAATTATTATTTTATTTTATAAAAAGATATATAAATAAATTTAAATTATTAAAGTTTAATCTAAATCATTTAAAACTATACTATTTTATTTATATATTTTATATAAAATTAAAATAAAAAATTTTTGAAAAATTAAATTTAAACTATTAAAAAAATTTAATTCAAAAGTAATGGGAGAAAAATAAAGGAAATGGAGGGAAGAGAAATGGAGACACCCTCTTCCCCCCTTACTCAGGACGTGTCCTCGCACCCAACATTGAGACTCGTGATTTCCTTGTCGTCTAATGCTTTTTCATTTTTTCGGGAAATCTTATCATGCTTTTTGGGGAGGCATGCTGTAATACTCCCCCCTCCTTGCTTGATATTACAAGCTAGTCTTTCTTTGGTCGTTATTTATAATTTACAAGTTATGTATAATATTCTCTTTATTTAAAAAAATAAAATATTTTTAATTAAATTTTATCTTTTAATAAAATAATTATTTATTTTTCAACTAACTCTATCTTTTTATATTTATTTTTATTAAACACCCTACAATACATATAAAGTCATTATCAATAAAAGTAATTTTTAAAAAAAGGTAATGATTACATCTCACAAGACTAAAAGTACCTTATATTTTTTAACATTTAATTTTTTAAAAAATACTTTACATTTTTGAACAAAGAGAGTATATTTTATCAAAATTTAAAAAAATTAAAATTTATTAATTTTGCTTAAAAATTTAACAGGTTTTAACTTTGCCTCATAAAATATACTCCATTCATTTTTTAATTGAGAGATTAGATGTTAAAAAATATAAAATATTTTTAATTTTTAAAGTTATAATCATTGTTTTTTTAAAGTACTTTTATCAAATAAATTGCTTTATATTTATTCAAAGTGAAACATTTTATTAAATAAATTTCTTATATTTTTTAAGAAGTGGAATATATATTTTAATAATGTATATTTTTCATCAATGTTTAATAGAAGATAAAACTTTTTTTCTCTCGATGAGATTGGTAAACCAGCGATAAGTCGAAAAACCTTTTGTTTGCTATGCTTTTGGTGCATTTGTGCTAGGGGATAAATTCCTCAAACGGTGTGATGTATTTGACCCCTAAAATTAAATGGTGAGTTTTTTGCTTTTTTGAGCAGAATAAATGGTGTGTTATTTGAATGCAGTTGCTTTGGGAAAAAAAAAAAGGAACAGGAAATCGCAAATCTTATTTATAAGTTACTCATTTACTTTTAACATATTTCATCAAAATCAAGAGAAACATTAAAACAATAAAACTTATTGACTCTGTTTAAAAATTTAATAATTTTTTAATTTTATCCCTATTAAATGCTCCTTTAGTCTTATATATAAGCCACTTTTAATATGTTTTACTAAAGTCAAAAAAAAAATCTTAAACTTCATTAACTTTGTCTCACTTTGATCCCTAATATATATTTTTAAATTTTATTACTGGTATTTTTATTTAAAATATTTAATAAAGACAAAAATATAAAGAGAACCATTGACAATTGATGAATGCTTTATAAATAGGACTAATTTTTTCATTCTCTATTTATCCTATAAATAAGACTGGAGGAGTATATGTACTTTAACAATATGTTTTCTCTCTTCAATATTTAATAAAAGGTAAATGAAAAAATTTGTTATTAAAATTTAATGAGATGACTTGTAAATAAGATAAAAATATCTCCTCTTTATGTCTTATAAATAAGATTACAGGGAGTGCATCTCATATTGCATAACGAAGTATCAGTAGTTTGTTCTGAGTGTTGGTTGATGTATTTGAAGGGCTGGAAGGGATGTGTTACGTGGTTGTTATAGTTAGTTAAGATGATTCACAGTTGGTTAGAAAAATTGTCGGTATATAGTGAATGTATTTGTATCTTTTTAATTGAATAAACTCCTTTCTACTATTCACGTGTATCAGAATGTGTGTCTTGTTACTTCCTTTTTTAAAGGTAAAGGCAGTGAATTTTTTCATAACTCCATGTTCCACTTGCAGTGATTTTTTTTCATAACTCCATATTCCACTTTTCTATGACCATTTGTTGTAGTTTCCTCTAAACTTCCTCCATTTTCCCCTGTTTTCAAAGCGGTGCGCTGGCTGCTAGTTTTTCCCATCTAGAAACTTGAAGTGAGTTTGGGCTAAACAAATACATTTTAGCCCAAATACCTTTTTTTTTTTTCCCTTTTGAATAGCACCTTCTTCATAATCTGAGGACAAAAGAACTTGGACTTGCAAGATTTGTGTGGTGGAGGAACGTGGAGATCTCAATAATGTAGGAGTCATTTTTTGGGTTCAACGTTACTGTCCCCGGGTTATCATCGCTTATTGGTGCTTCTTGTGTTGCCATGTAGCTTTCTTCCCTTGTCTTGTAACCATACCACTTGCATAATTTTCTGGCTCTCGTGAATAATGAAGCCTTCGTTGAAAATAATTGAAATGAATACACGAACTTAAAAAAAAAAAACAAACAAACAAACAAACAACCAAGAAGAAGACTTGTTGCCAACATCGTACGCCTTGTCCTGTTGGTATATATATATATATATATATATATATCCTCGACCTAATACAATATAAAAACATGGATTCAAACTACGTTTACTTTTATATTTTCACAGAGCATGATAGAGATAAGCTTCTTTCTTTTTTTTTTTTATTGCATATAGATGTCATGAACAACCCCGTTTAAGCCACGGTGGAACACTAATTGAGGTATTAACCAGTTTCCCTAGACCTAACATCATTCGTTAGATAAGGTCAAACTATATGGTATGAGAATTGATTTAAAAAACTAGTCAATATTCAATATATCAATGGAAGAATTTATTTGGAAAATTAAAGTTGTTCAAAAGTAATTTAAAAATCATTTTTTTCTCAAAGGAAAATTAATCTTTTAATTTTTTAACTTTTAACCCACTTATAACTAAATCCCTCAACTATAACTCGCTGCAACTCAATACCTCAACTATAACTCGCTGCAACTCAATCCCTCAACTTTTAATTCACCTATAATTAGATCCTTATTTTTTAATTTTTTTAAATTTTTATCAAATAAGAGGGATAAAAAAAATGTTCATATATTATTCTAAAATACCCTCCTCTTGCTCATTGATATGAGATATAAGTTAACATGAAAAAAATTAAAAAAGTTCAAGGACTAATTTGTAAGTGATTCAAAAATTAAGGGATTCAGTCATAGGCAGATTATAATTGAGAGACTGAGTCACAGTGAGTCATAGTTGAAGGATTGAGTTATAAGTAAATTAAAAATTAGAAGATTAAAAGATCAATTTTTCCTTTCTTAAATATTATATACATAAAATTTGATATAGAACGAGTCAAATTTGGATTTTTTTTTTTTTTACTTCTTGATGGAGATTCATGAAGTTTGATCATATATTCTATTCACTTT